ATTCTTTTCAATTCTACGCTTCTTACCGGGTGTTATTTATGTTTTTTGGGTCGCTGAATTCGAATCCGAACTCAGTTTTCCGCCATCACGTCAAGTTTCTCCACAAATTAATAAAATTCAAAAAACTGACTGTAAACAAGATTTAAATAAAAATAAGGAGAAGATTCTATTAAAAAACAACTTTAAAACTCTGAAAAAATATTATACAATGTTAAACAATCAAAGAAAGTCGTAAATATTCAAAATTTAAGATGGCGGATCCAATATGGCGTCAATTTTTTTTAAATTCACCCAATTCGCCTGAATCTAGTTACTCGGGGGTTTTTGGGGTTGCTAAATACGAATTTCACCTTAGTTTTCAAAAATTCAAAATCTGATAAATTTTTTAATAATTCGTTAGCCATATTGGATTTTACATTTTGCTTTTTTTTAAACTAAGGTAAAATTCGTATTCAGCGACATCAAAAACCCCCAAGTAACAAGTTTTAAGTAAATCTGATAATTTTTTGAAAAATTCGAAAGCCATATTGGATCCGCCATTTTGAAAAAACTTGACGTGATGGTGGAAAACTGAGTTCGGATTCGAATTAAGCGACCCAAAAAGCATATAAAAAACATGGTCCGGTCAATCCTTCCTTAAAAAAAAATTTTGTGGTCCTGTGTTATCAATTAAATATTTAATTGAATCAAATAATATTTATTGGACTCAATTAAAAGGTATTTGCTTCAAATACTTAAATTATTGGTTCAAATACCATTTAATTGACTCCAATAAATATTATTTGATTCAAGTAAATATTTAATTGATAATACCCAGTAAAAAAAGAAGTATTGAGTGGAGCGTTTAGGAATTGAGTGAAGCTCTGAGCCAATACGGATTCGAGTAAAAACCGTATTGGGACGTTTGACTCAATCTTTTTTTCATCCGCCGAATACTGTCTTATTTTAGCATTAAAATTAAAATCACATGACCAGAGTACACATTATAAATTGAAAGCACAATTGTCCTGGAATGTAAAAATGCCGATTTCGATAAGAAACAGTGAATATTTGTTAAAAATTGGTAAAAGCAAAGTTTGACAAGCGCGACTGAATTTACCATGTGAATAAATGAATTGGTAAGTTTAAATGGACGAAAAGAAATCTACTGTTACCGACAGAAAGTTCCTAGAGAATTGTTAAACAATGAAATTTCATTGTTTTGTTGAATTTACCACAATTCTCTAGGAACTATCTGTCGGTAACAGTAGATTTCTTTCAGTCCATTTCGTCCATTTAAACTTACCACTTCATTTATTCACATGGTAAATTCAGTCGCGCTTATAAAACTTTGCTTTTACCAATTTTTAACAAATATTCACTGCTTCTTATCGAAATCGGCATTTTTACATTCCAGGACAATTGTGCTTTCAATTTATAATGTGTACTCTGATCTTGTGATTTTAATTTTAATGCTAAAATAAGACCGTATTCGGCGGATGAAAAAAAGATTGAGTCAGACGTCCCAATACGGTTTTTACTCGAATCCGTATTGGCTCAGAGCTTCACTCAATTCCTAAACGCTCCACTCAATACTTCTTTTTTTACTGGGTAGTCAATTAATCGTTTATATTTGAATCAATTAAATTTTTTTTTAGTGTATATAAGTAGGAAATGTATATTGGAATTGGAAATGTATACGTAGAATCAGAATGTATAACTCCAATTGGAGTTGATAACAGTTTAACAGTTTTTATCAACTAAGGATTTTTTTCCATGTAAAATTAATAAAAAAGAGTTAAAAATTAAAAAAGTACACTCGAACCTAGATAAGTGGTCCCTAGATAAGTGGGAATCCTCTTTAAGTGGAACTTTTTTTGCGGTCTATAAGTGGGAAAACGTTACTTATATAAGTGGAACTGATTTTTTGAAATAAGGCCTCTATAAGTGGAACATTTTCTTAAATTTACCTCTATAAGTGGAACTTTTCATTCATTTACCTCTGTGAGTGGAACATGTCCTCTATAAGTGGAACTTTTTATTCATGTACCTTCATAAGTGGAATCTAAAACTTTTGATTAAACCACGATTCATCTGCTATTTTACTCGACACGTGTACTTGTTGTTTACTATCTGTGTATTTGCAAAAAAGTTTTCTAGTGACTCAGGTCTTTATTTTATTTAAATTGATTTATTACCAGGACTATAAGTATAAATTATAAGTAAATTATTTTCTTTAGGCCGAATTACTTACCCGAATTACTTCAAAAATATTCAAGAAATTATATACCTCTTTAAATGGAACTTGGCCTAAAACGACCTGGATAAGTGGAAAACTGGATAAATGGAATACCTCTGTAAGTGGAACAAAAATTTCGGTCCCTTCAGGTTCCACTTATCCAGGTTCAACTGTATAATAATAAGGAAATAATATTAAAAATTATAAAAAACTGTTACCATCTCTAATTGGAGTTGGTAATTTTAATAGAAGATAAATTATGTTCTAAAAAAAATATTTGTAAAACCCCAAATTTTTTAGAGGTCCGACAAAAAAGTTGTAAGTGAAACAAAAAGTGTAATTTTTGTGAACACAAAAATTTTAAAAATCAATTTTTGTCCACAAATAATAAAATTTTTAGTTTATTTTGGTCGTTAGTATGTACACAATGGAAACAAAACTAATAAAAGAATAATCAAATAATGTGGCTGAATCAGTACTCTACTATGAAATATAATAATTCACGATTTCAGAAAGGAAAGAAAGAAAATAAAAGAAACAAATTATTTTACATTTTTAAGTGATTCAACTTATCAACTCAAGAGTTTTAGTAACTTCATAAATAATTTATTTTTATGAATATTCATTTAAACAGTAACAATATTTGAGCATCGTAAAAATATGAACGATACACTGAAAAAAAAGTTTATTTGATTCAAATATCCGATTAATTGACTATTATCAAATAAATATGTTTCCTTCGTCCACAAAATTTTTCGTTCAACGTTATATATATATATAAATAATAATAAAAAAAAAAAAATAAATAATAAATAATAATAATAATAAATAATAATAAAATAATAATATTATTATATATATATATATATATATATATATATATATATATATATATATATATATATATATATATATATATATATATATATATATATATATATTTATATATATTTATATATATATATATATACTAAATTTTCACTTAAAAATCCATTTTAAGACGATTTTAAGGGTTTTTTTTTTAATTTTTGAAAACAAATTTTTTTACAACCCCTTCCAAGCTTGAAAAATTGATAATGAAAGGGGTATAATAACCCTTCCAACAATACGTTAATTACTCACACATATGAATTCCTAAGAAAATTCTGAATTTTTGACGAAGTTGAAGTCCACAACGTTTATCAACGAAAAAATTTTTTTTTTTTAAATAGAAGATTTAACTAATATAACAGATATCAAAAGAAAAGTCACAAACACAACAGAAAGCAAATATCAAAACTCAAAATCATAAAAAATTACATTTTTTTACAAACTTAAAATACCAACAATATGTATGCAAACTAGACCAACTTGACAACAACATATGTAAAAATTAGAGTTATGAATTGACCAAGGATTTTATTTTTGGAAATGACTCCTATAGTGAGTCTCCTAATCATCCTGGAGAATTTCAAAAAAAATCGCCACCCGGAAAATCTCAATTTTTTGCCCTAATAAATCCAAAATTAAAATTAGGTAAAAATAGAGAAAAAAATGTCAAAATTAGACAAATTAGTTATTCCCTTCAATTTAAGACCAAATCCATGAAAATCCGATAAAATTTGTAGGTTCCAGACAATTTTAAACAGTAAATTGTAAAAAATGCCAATGTACGCGGGGCGAGTTTAACGTCATATAAAGCTCTACAAAGCTGCAGTTTTTAATTAATAACTTTTTTCTAATTGAGGCTTATTTTTTTTCGAAACGGTTTTACACTCGGAGACATTTAAGGAATAGAATAAAATTTTAATTTTTTTGTTAGGACGTAAAGAACATATTTGTTTATTAACATTTTATGAACAAATTATATAAAAAATTATAAAAAACAAAAAAATTTTAAGACAAAAAATATATTCAAATAGTACAATCCAAGGCGAAAAAACCCATATTTTAATTTTAAAATCCGTCAACAGGAACTCGAGAAAAAAATTTGTTAATGAAGCAGTACTAAAAAATTCAATTGTTAATAACTTTTACAAAAAATTATTTTTTGCCTTAATATTTTCAGGGATTCTTCTTAACGATATTAGGAGCCAAAAAAAACTATTTTGGTTAAAAAAAAATTTTTTAGTTTCAGGTGATCCGTTTGAGAAATTCTGACCCAGTGAGAAATAAAATTATGCATAAAATGGATATATTTCTTATTTCTTAATCATAATTCTTAACAATTAACAATTTTCTAATATTTTTTATAAATAAAAAGCATACAAATTTGTATAATTTAGATCAGTCAAACGAAGTTTCTTATAAAAAGCGTATAAAAAACAAAATTTATTTGTTAATCATAACTTTTAAAAAAATTTTTAATTTTCTAATTTCAAATATTATTTTATTATAAATCATGAAAAATACCTGCATATTTTCTATTTGTCAAACAATATTTTCTAAAGAAAAAAAAAACAAAACCATACGCAAAAGTCAAACTTCAGATGTGGACAAACAGAATGAATGAATTATTGATTATTATATTTAATAATAAGTAATATTATATTTAATTATTGCATATTTTTACTTAAGTAATTCATATTTGGTACAAATAACTATTTATTTGATGCTATAAAATAAAATATTTATGTTCAGTAAACATTTACTTATCTCAAATAAATAAAAACAAATAATTATAAATACAACCGAGCGAGCGTTAGCGAGTGAGGATATGTCGCTAGTACATCAATAAGTTTGGTCTAAATGTAATGAAATGACTCACGGATAAGAATATGTTTATTATTGTGTTTAATTATGTTTACAAAAAAAACTGTACGCTTGTTTTGCGAGCATTTGTAACGAACTATAGCTAGTTGCATAACTATTTGAAGTGACAAGTTATACAAGCAAACATTATCTTCTTTAAATATCTAAAACTTTAAATATATTGTTTTTACATGAGTATAGCAAACCCAGTTTTTATGCATTAGTGACACGAATTTTATTTGAAAGATAGTTTAAAAGTTTTATAATTTTTATAATAATATATGTACAATTAAAATATTGTCTGCAAAAGTAAGTAAAGAAAAATAAAATTAAGATACTATATAGCTGTAATAAAATAACGTCTGACAACTTAAACCACAAATTTCTATATTCATTAGTGAAACAATTAATTTTTAATAAATTAATATTACGCTGATAAAAATATTCACTTCATGGTAATATCACATTTAATATTAAGTAGCCTTAAAGAAACAACTCATATAACGACATAACGTTTTGAGCTTCAAAAATTTGTTTTTAACGGACAATTTGAGATTTTTGATTTACACTTACTGTATTGATAAGAAATACAAAATATTCTCCAATAAAACTTCTGAGGCATCTTAATGACGAAGTAAAACTTCTAATTTTTGTAATTTTGTTATTAGATTTATCTGAACTTATAAAAAATGATTTTAGGTACTATTCACTACGCCCCGGGAAGGTGTGCATCACGCCCGGTCCGGGGCGTATTGGATAGCTCTACATTTCTCCGCAGAAAAACAATTCTAAAAAAATAGAAGGGATTTTTGCATTTTCGTTTTTAAATTTTTGAAAAATAGTATCAAATTCTTCACTAGCCCTTATGTCTGGATTTTTGAATTGACCCAGTTTATCGGTATTTCAGGGTACTAAAATACACTGTAAAAAGAAAGGTACTAATTTAGTATCCATTTTGGTACTAAATCGTAATTTGGTTCTATTTTAATACAAAAATCAGTAATTTAGAACCTTTTTTTACAGTGTAAGGTAACTAGGATCTATGTAGGAAAAAGCCTCCTTGCACCCCGTAGGGATCCAAAAATATGTTTTTTCGAAAATGTTTTTTTCCTTAAAAAAAATTTTTCTACCAAATTGTCTCACTCTGTTTTTCTTGTTTAAAATGATTCCAAAACCTTAAAATTAATTAATTTTAAATTTTTTAGAGTTGGGCACAAAAATTATTTTTATTATTTTTAGAAGGTACTAAGTCTAAAACCCATCTTCATGAATTTTTTCAGACTTCTTCGTTATGTGCGCTACATCAAAAAATTGATTTTCTTAAATTTTTAGCCGTTTTTATCGTTTTGGCCTTTCAAGACCAAATTCCCAGTCCGTAAAGTGTATAATGTAAATATTTTCGCGAAAATTATTTAATTAGCTTTTCTATTTATGTAACCACTCTGAATTGGTGGAATTTTAAAAAATTAAGAAAGAACTAAGTTTTCAAGCATAGAAATTTCAGAAAATTACATTTTCTTTCTGTTGTACTGTTTTTTTGACACCTACCCGTGTAGAAATTTTTCTACTGGGGCCATATTAGGGATTGAAACGCCGCGCCTGATCTGGTCCACATCAGGGGTTACTCAGGGGTTTTTGAGGTTTTACGGTACAATGCTTATTTTGATAATTTTTTACTCTTAAACAATTAAAGAAAAAAATTTGTCAAGGTTCAGTTTCGATGGATTTTTTCATGCTCTTTCAATTGGAAGTAAGTATTTTGAAAAAAAAATTTTTATTTAAAAAAATAAAAATTAAAAATAATTTGACTCTTTGGGGGGGAAGGATACGATTTTTTAAAACGAAAACTGAGGTTTTTCTCTATAAGATATAAGCGGTTCCCAATGGGAAATTAACCATTGGCGCAATAATGGTCCTATATTGGGAGCCAGTAGTACCAATGATGGTGCAATAATAGCAACCAATATTGGGCCACTATTGCCAGAGTGTTGGGATGATCACGACTTTGCCAAGCATTGGCAGCCAATATTGGATCACTATTGGCTGCCAAGGCAAATGCCGGACTTTCCAAGCCTTGGTTATTCATTGGCAACAAAGATTGGACCAATATTAATGACTAATTATTTACCAATGCTTCAAAATTAAATTAATGCTTGGTTATTTCTTGGTTACCAATCTAATCTAATCTAACAACCGAAATCGAGCTGGATTTTCCTAAAGAGAGGAAAGTAAGCACCTAGATTATAAAACCCATTGTACCAGACTCCAGCTCACTCGTTTTTAACAACCCCTTAGAGTCCTGTTCTTCTCCAGAAGTCCAGTATCTCTTCTATCGATAGGTTGCTCACCTGCTTAGGGTCAATAATTGCTTGATAGCCTGATCCTAGCCAACGCTGGGCATTCAGATAATATGTGAGTCGAAGTATCGTTACTCTCCCCCCACAGTCTGCACATAGGTGAAACTTGTCTGTCTATTTTATGCAGATGGTATTTCAATAGTCCATGACCCATAAGTAGACAAACTACGGTTCTAACTCTGATCTTGTCGAGTTTTAGGAGATCGCTCGCTCGCCTCTTGTTGAGTACTAGCCCCAACAGAGTTTTCGCTTGCCTTCCCACCCCAACGTTCGCCCAATACTTCTCATGTTCCTTTTGACCCCATCTTCCTATGGATCCCTTAACCAACCACGGCATTATTGACACTGCTGGTTCAGGACCTATAAATTCCGTCTTGGAAACGATTTTCGCCGAGAAAATCTCTTTCATTACCCTTGATTTCCGAGTGGCTCGGTACCCAAATCAATGAAAGTTTATTTGCTGAACCCAACTCATCTAGTACGCTACGGCATTCCCAGACGAGTTTGGATTCTATTGTGGGATTTTTCAGAGCCCCTAAGGCCGCCTGATTATCCACACAAATACTAATCCTCTTGCCCTTTGTTCCATTTCGAATGGATATTTGGGCGCAAGTTAAAATCGCACAGACCTCTGTCTGCCAGACCGTAGCATATTGACATAGTGACTCAGCCACTTTAATGCAGCCAGTTCTTCGATAGATTCCGAAGCCTGCACCGCAGTCCATCTTGGAGCCGTCTGTATACCAGACTTCGTCCCCAAGTGGAAAACCTTTCTTCCAGTCCATTCTGGAAGGTGTAGTAATCTTAAAGCGGGGTTTAAATTTCACCTTCTTGATCATTCTATCTTGCACCTCTTGCAGAGGTACTTCGGCTAGCATGAATCCCAACGCAGCTGTTGGCATGGTCCTTATAGCACCCGTAATACCCCTGAAAATCATTGCTTGAAGTTGGTCCAGTTTCTCTTTAACCGTTATCAGTTGAGTCCTAGACGACCAAACAACCACCGCGTGAAAAAACCTAGGTTTTAAGATCATCTGATAGAGCCAGTTGACCATATTAGGCCTTAGTCCCTACGAAGGCCCTATCGCCCTTCTACACGCCCAAAAAGCAGTACAGAACCTTCCATACTGATATTCAAAATGTTCCCTCCAAATCAGCTTTTTATCCAGGATTATTCCCAGGTTCTTAGCCGATTCAGAAAAAGATATTTCTTTTCCATAAAATATCGGTTTCTTTAAACTCGGTACTTTATATTTTCTTGTGAAAACTACTATATTCGTTTTCTCTGGGTTTACAGATAGTCCAGTTAGATTGCACCAATCCTTGACAATCTTAAGTGCACGTTCCGTAAGTTCTAAGAGGGTCTCAATTGAGTGCCCTCTTATAATTATAAGGAAATCATCCACATAACTTTGCGTATAATATCCCTGGCTATTGAGGTTTCTAATTAACTCATCTGCCACTAAGCACCACAATAAAGGAGAGAGGACTCCTCCTTGTGGGCACCCTTTGGGGCCATTCAAGTATTACGTAAGCATATTTTTCAGATTTTTAGACCCCCCCTCCCACATGTAAGATTTTTTTATATGCATTAGCGCTATTTTTCTAATGTAAATAAGCAATAGCTAGACCCCCCTCCCCCTTAAATGCTTACGTAATACTTGAATGGTCCCTTTTGAGACAAGGCCTGTTACTTTAGCCTCACCATACTCCGCTTCAAGGGCCCTTTCGCGAAGCATGCTGTCGATCCACTTAATTAGCGGCTCGGGCACACCTCGCTTCCTGGCTGCCCTACAGATAGCTTTGCTACACGGAGAAAAAAACAAGCGTTTGTAGTATGGACCATGTCCATACTGCAAACGCTTGATTTTTCTCTCCGTGCATGCAACAAAGTTTTATCAATCCTTCAGTAACCTGTCGTAGTTTACCCTACCCGTGTAGAAATTTACCGTGTAAGTGTATGAGAAACTGTCCAGTTGCGCTAGATTTAATCTAGCAACTAGATGGGAAAAATGGACAGGCTTGAACGAGGGATATAACTCTAGCAACGTCAAGATTTTGTACAGTTATTTTGTCTAGTCCTTGTCTAGTAAAATAAATCATTCCTAGCCAGTTCCTGGATATTAAAATAATCAGTTTCTACATACTGGGAATAATTGTTAGGTTTACAAATAATAAAACAATATTTTTCAACTTTACTCTTTTGTTTTTTTAACTTTTAAACAAACAAAAGAGTAATACAAAAGTATTTGTTATTATTACAATTCCTCTTACAATTATTTTTGAAATTAATTGTAACATATTTTGCTACATTGGATTTTTTCTTTAAAACACAAACACATTCACTATAAAGATTCGTACTTTACCGATAATAAAATGAATTGTATATTGTATTGTTGCAATCACAAAAAATTCACTTAAAATTACCAAAGTTTTATTACTTATTATGAACATTATAATATGAAAAACAATCTGAGACTATGAATGATGACATCACATGTCCTTTTTCTAATAAATCTTCTTTTCGCTGTAATATATTTAAACTTGTACACTGTCCCTGTTAAAAAATGGAAAACTGAAAACTTTTCACTAGATTTATAAATTTGATTTTATCTTCACAACAAGATAAGTTACAATTGTAGACTCTTGGTTTCTTTTCATCAAGCACTACGTAAAGAACTGATTTCGTCTGCTAGCTTAGTAGACTCTCAGAGCCACCTTCTCCACGAACTTGTACTAAATTCTTATGTCAGCGTCCTAGACAGTGCCTAGCTAATTCTTGGACAACCTGCTATACGAACTTGTACTGAATTTTCAATTCAGTATCCTAGACAAATTTTAGCTAGATTCTAGACTGTCTTCATAGCGAAGAAAATAAAGGGGAAAACTGTACATTAACATTTCGGGGCCAGGACAGCTTTTTCAGAATAATTTCCCACGATAAATGCTATCTAGCTGTAGTCTATTTCTAGGAAGGCCACGACAAATTTCTACACGGGTAATACTGGAAAATCATATATAGGTTATTTTTACAAGGAATCCTATAAGTATCACATATAAATTCTTATAAGATTCTTTATAGGAACTGGCGTAAGTTCCTATGTAGGATTTCTATAAGGATAACCTACAAGTATTCATATAGTTTCCTATTCCTTATAGGATTTCTTGTAGGTATCTATATAACCGCTATCCGGTAAGAAGTGAGGAAATAAAATTATGTAGTAAATTTGCTTATTCAAATGAATTCAACTTTTGAATTTTTTTCAATTCTCCGGTTTTTACCGGGTAATGTCAATCCATCAATATAAACCGTGGATATAAAAATTGAACAGCAATGCTCTATCAGCAATCATTATGAGATTCATTAATCTTAACTATGAGATATACGCTTATTAGCAATACATTGTCATAATTCGCTCTCTGTTTTCACATTTTCCCATACTTGTTCATCTTTTACCAATACTTCTATTTGCACGCGGATATCAATAATTTCATACTGGGTACACGCATAAAAAATAAGGTTTATAGCAAGGCTATAAATTTATAGAATTGGATTTATAGAACTCTGTATGGTGTAGAAGAAATTTTCCAATACTTTTAAATGCCATTTCTGTCCAATTCTTTTCTATACCCTGATAGGACCACGTTTCGTCTAAAAATGAATGCTATTCAATTCTTTTTGTAATTTTTAACAAAGACAAAATTTTTTTCTGAATGCTTTCCAATCCCATCCGAAATTATTACAGCCTGTCATTATATCACTTTTCAATTTTTCATTGGAACCGCGTTTCTGCATGCATTCAAGCAATCTTCTGGATTTTTGTAATTTATAAGATACATACAGTGGCAGATTTTGTAAAAAGTGTTTGTGTTCAAAGAAAAACTTGCTGAAAAATTGATTGTTTACCAATTTAACGTCATTTAAACGAGTCAGGGCCGTTATTCTGTTAGACAATAAATCATAACCTAAAAATTTCAGAGACCTTTAAACACTTTTAACCCTCTTAACTGATAATTTAATAATTATTCCTTTTTAAAATAGCAAATAAATTCATGAGTGCAGTTATTTGAAAGTAATTGAACATTCTATATGTCAATAATATTAGTATTATATTATTATACTACTGTCGCAGAATTCAGAAGCATAGGGCAGAAATGGTATTCAAAAGGATAGAATTTTTTTAATGCTTCTTAATCTTTGCTTTCTTACTGGGTATTCAAGAGGATTGATATCGTTACTTTTCATATTGCTCTCACTGGATAGAAAAGTATTGGACAGAAATGGCATTCAAAAGAATAGAATCTTTTTAATACTTTTCAATTTTTCGTTTCTTACTGGGTAACCTCTGTACTTAAAAACCGTGTTAAAAGTTTTTTGATTGTACGAACGTCTCATTGCAATAAGAAAACCTTACTTTGTTAGGTTCTCTTGCCGTAATGGGACGGGACGCGTATATAATTGACGCACCAAGGTCCTGCATGCGATACCCGCACGGCCTATATGATAAAGCTACGAACAAGTGCTGTGCTATAAAGCCCTTTTCTTTTTTCCATGTACATAATTCTATTACTCATTTCAGAAGGAAAAATGCTACTACTGAGTATCATATTTTTAACCTGCACAGGAGTTTTGTCTCAAGTTCCTGGAATTGGAAACTGTCCAAAAGTAAAGGTTATACAAGACTTTAATGCAAGCAAGGTAAATTTAAACAGATTGTAAGATATTGTATATAGGTGTGTGTGCTTAGACTTATGAGTAAGTGGGGACTGTGATTATAAGGACGATTGATAAGACGAACAGTTCCTAATTAGACACGAAATGTTATGCTCGTATAATATTAATGTAAATGTTCCAGGTATTTCTTCTAAAAATATAAATAATACGTTAAATTCACGTTGGTGGACACATTTCCAAGGCATTTTTCCCAATAGTTAAAATCCTCAATCCCATAATCAACTTTTCCTCACCTATTATTTTCCTACTTTTTCCAATCTATTGTTTTCACAACCTTCAATCTTTCAACCAATTAACTTCATATTTTATTTATTTATTTTATTTTACACTTGTTTACAACACATAAATGTGCATACAAGGGAGTGACGCATATATAAAAATATAATACAAAATTTCTTCGGTCGTACATCAGTAAATCAAACTCTCATTCTTTCTTTAAATATTTTAACAAGTACATTTATCAGTCTTTTAATTTCATTACTATTCGTGGAGGCGAAAAGGTCCAGCCAGCACTCGATCGGAGAGTCACTGTTTTTTCTATCTTTCATAAATTCTCCCAGCATGTGTTCACATGCTGGGCAGTCTATTAACATGTGAAATAAACTTTCATTATCTAAATGACAAAATTCGCAAAGGGTTTCTGTAGGAAATTCTATTTTTTGCTTATCAAACGCGATTCTGCATATATGTTTGTTCAGCAGTCTAATCTGCGCTAGGATCTTTTTGTATCTTAGTGGTAGATTTAAAAAAAGATAGTTACGCGAATCCCACGATAGGCCCAGGCTGGGATAGATCAAAAGGCTCCTTGATAATTCAACACAAGTCTTATCTCGTTCATAAATAAATTTCTTATACGTTTCTAAAATAAGGCGATCATTAAAGGTAAAGTTATCAAAATCCAAATCATCCAAAAGCCCCCCAATTCCACAGGGCTCAAAAAATATAGTTCTAAGTTGGTTAAACCAATTAATTTTATTGTTGGGCTGTCCCCTCGCTCGTCTCAACAGACCCAACGCGCACTGTCTGGGATATCGTGATATATCCATCTGTGAAATTTTAATTAGCCAGGACAGTACGAGCCTTAGTACCGCTGAGGCCAGGTGAGGAGACGCCGTTTCCAATCTTACTGCGTAGTTTGGGGTGCAATTTGGAAGATTTAATAATTTTTTGTAGAAGGAAAGCTTCACTTTCTCAATATCGTCTAAGCTACTCATTCCCCATATTTGGCATGCGTAAAATAGAACGCTACCCGCCAAACTTTCAAAGAGTCTAGAACACGAATCCCAAGAGTTTACCCTTGTTGAATAGATCGTTCCCAGGACCGAGCCAACCGCGGAACTCGCAGAGTTTATAAATTTCTTGGAAGCAGGGGCAAATGAACATGAATTATGAAACGGTACCCCCAAATACGTGTATTCATCAACAACCTCGATATTTTCATTGCCATACTTAAAGAATTTGAAATTTTTTTTTGCTTTAGAATTTCCAGACTTCGTGCAAATTACTATCTTTGTTTTGTCAATATTAACCGTAAGCTTATTTAAATCACAATACTTGTAAAGTGCATCCAATTTTTTAGACATTTCTAAAGGGGAGTCAGCTAATAGAACATAGTCATCTGCATATCCTTGCATGAGTATTTCCGTTTTATTATTAATTGATATTCCCCTACATCCCTGTTTTATAAAATATTCTTCCATATCGGCTATAAACAAGATAAATAAATAGGGACTTAGCACATCCCCCTGGAGCAAACCAAGGGTAATCTTCACACTTTCCGTTACTCCTTCATTAGTTCTTATGCTAGTGTATGCATTCTCGTAGAAATTTTTAATTACATGGATACATTTCGAGCTAAGACCCAGAGAATACAATTTTTCCCAAAGTATATCGTGCGGAACTGATGGAAAAGCCCCCTTAAAATCTATAAAGGCGGCATAAACTACCGCGCCCGGATTGCTTAGATGGATTTGTATAACAGACGAAAGGGTAAACAAGTTATCCAGACAGCCTCTGCCCTTTCTAAACCCCCCCTGAGATTCTGGAATCAAATTTTGCAATTCAACCCATTTAACTATCCGTGAACATAAAATTTGTGTAAAAATTTTTGGTAGAGAATTAACCAGAGCTATGGGTCTGTAGGTGCCTGGATCCCTGGGATCCCCCTTCTTTTTATGAAACATTACAGTTGTTATATTTCCCCAATCTTTAGGAACTTTCTCTTCTAATAAAATTTTATTAAAAAGATGGTATATAAGCAGAATCCAATTTTGTGGTAAATTTTTATAAAAATTATTATTAATTCCATCTAAACCAGGGGCCCCCTGGCGGGCGGGTTTCACTGAATATCTACTGAATTCGGTAGACGTTCGGTATACGTTCGGTAATTGGTCGAAAAATTCAATAAAAAAGCATAGAATGTTGAAATAAACTATTGAAAATAATAAATGGAGTATTAAAGTGTAAATTTATCCAACATTTAGGGTAAATTATGTTGTAAATAATTAAATATTAATGTGTAAAGTGTAAAAGTGCTAATGTGACAGTTGAAATAGTGTGTGAAATTTATTAATTTGTAATGAAAATAAGAATAGAATGCTAAAAAAAGCAATCAATATATATTCTTTGATATGTAATGTATTTAATTCATTATATAGTTTTGTTAATTGTTGCATATTAACAATAAAAACATTAATTAAAGTAATAATTTTTTCTACCAATGTAAAGTGTCGATAACATGGAGTGTAGAGAAAGGTAGCCGCGCTCAACACACGCTAGGTGGCAATACTCACGATTTTCTTGTCTGAATCGTCTGAATATTTAATTTACAATTTAATTAAATACTATTAAAATAGACCAAATTATCAAGAAAACTAAAGAGTCAATTATAGAAAATATTGATTTAATATTCATGATTAACATTTATGCGCGATTTATTATAAAACTTTTTGAAAACAATTATAATTCTTTGTATATGGGCAATTCCACGTAAAATTTCAGTCGACCTTTAGAATCGGCAAAACATACTTTTTTCTTTTCTATATTGAAAAAAACCGGAGAGGTATTTTTTTCTAGGACAAATTTTTGAGTTATGAATTTTCAAAATTTTCGTTTTTTAAATGCAGATCTATTTTTAATGTCGAATAACTAAAAAATATTGTTTATTTTTATTTTTTGACAAGAGAAAAAAGTTTTGTTCTTCCCTGTACTATTCAATAATGATAACAATATTTTTTTTATGTTTTATTAAAAAAATAAAAATTTTTTATAAACAAATTAGGTTTTTTTAACTTTGGGTATGACAAATTTTTCTTCTTTAAAAAACATACCTAAAAATGCTGGAAAGTTAACAAATAAGAATATTTGTAGAAAAAATAATGTTTCCTTCTTTTCCATTGCCATGGAAAACAATTCAAAACATATGTAAATTCTCTCAAAAACTTAAAAAACTTATTAGCACAAACAATTACATTTGTTATAAAAAAAATTATTTACTTCTTAAACAAATTAATAATTGCTTATTTCTGAAAAAATTAATATAAAACATTTTTAAAATTCAATTACAGGCAAACCTCTCTAGGGCGGAAAGCAATTTTTAGTGGCCAAAAGTTTTTATTTTCTTTTTAGGGGGTTGAGACTAAATGTTATATTTAAAAAAAAATGAAATATATTCACCATTTTATTTTTTATTAAGGCAACGAATCAAAGAATTGCTTTTTGTAAATAGGAGGAGTTTAAATATTATTTTTAGTGGCCAAAAGTTTTTATTTTCTTTTTAGGGGGTTGAGACTAAATGTTATATTTAAAAAAAAATGAAATATATTCGGGTCAGAATTCGTGAAATTTTCACAGAAAATAAAAAGTATTTTTTTTAAATCGAAGTGTTGAAAAAACATTTCTATTTGGCCTTAAGAATGTGTCCACCAAAAAACAGGAAAAAAAATTATTTTTTATAAAAGTTATTGCAAAATTAATTTTTTAGCAACTTTTTAAACAAAATTTTATTTCTCCTAAATGAATGAACCGATTTAAATGAACTAAGCGGGAATATCAAGGGGATAAAATATACTTTCGTTTAGAATTAGAAAATTTCTAAAAAGTTTATTTTTTAATAATTATTTAATAAATTTTTTATAAACAATTAATTTTTTTTAATGTTCTGCGCCTTTTAAAAATTTGAAAAAAATATTAACATACACTTAAAACTATAAGAAATCAAAATCCGTTGAGAAAATTTTGGAGCGACAATTATTTTAAAAGTTATAAACAAATTATATTGGCGCGGTGTTGTGCATCAACGCTGAACTTAGTTTTTGACCATTTTTTTCAATTTTTATGGTTATATAATTGAATAAAAATGTTAATTTGACAGTGTTTTCTTCATTTCGTAGTTAAAAATAATGTTTTAATTCTGAAAATCATCAAAATCGCATCTTCGTTCAATATAATTTGTTTATAACTTTTAAAATAATTGTTGCTCCAAAATTTTGTCAACGGATTTTGATTTCTTATAGTTTTAAGTGTATGTTAATATTTTTTTCAAATTTTTAAAAGGCGCAGAACATTAAAAAAAATTAATTGTTTATAAAAAATTTATTAAATAATTATTAAAAAATTAACTTTTTAGAAATTTTCTAATTCTAAACGAAAGTATATTTTATCCCCTTGATATTCCCGCTTGGTTCATTTAAATCGGTTCATTCATTTAGGAGAAATAAAATTTTGTTTAAAAAGTTGCTAAAAAATTAATTTTGCAATAACTTTTATAAAAAATAATTTTTTTTCCTGTTTTTTGGTGGACACATTCTTAAGGCCAAATAGAAATGTTTTTTCAACATTTCGATTTAAAAAAAATACTTTTTATTTTCTGTGAAAATTTCACGAATTCTGACCCATTCACCATTTTTTTAAATAAGGCAACGAATCAAAGAATTGCTCTTTGTAAATAGGAGGAGTTTAAATAT